AAAGTACATAAGGTACATATAGGTGATTATTAAATGGATGTATTATCTAGACAAAGGAACAGTGTTCACTGGAATATTAACAGAACACACTTTTAGTATAAGAACATGGAGATTTTGGACTTGCTGAAGGTCTTCAGAATTATTTGATAGAATTTTTAAGATATGTAGAATCCAAACATAAATTTGAGTTTTCAGTTTGTATAAGGATTTTTTAGAGGTTATGGTTATAAATATCACAGAAGGGAGGAAGGAGGAAGACTCCACGGATCAGGAGATACACAAGAACTAAGTAAACAGATCATCATATACATGGAAGGTTAGGTATCACTCCACAGAGCTGAAGAAACCTTTCCCCTAGTCCAACACAAAGGTAAGAGTTCAGCATATCAAAATCCCTCAGGTACTACATGACACAATGGTGAGCTGATCATCTACATACATCCAGGAAGGCACATCTCACAAAAATGTTATAGGAAAAGTACAGCTCCAGCCCCAATCCCCAAACAAGCTCATTCTTTTTATAGATTAAATAGTATAAATTTTCAATGAATTCAACATAGACTCTTTATATCTGCTGGGATACTGCCAATCTATTGAAAATCTTAAAATACAAGCATACTTACAGGCATCCTTCTAATTTTGAGCTTTAAAAACATCCTTCCTCGACATAATCAATAAGAATGTATTGAAAACTGAAGTAAAATTAGATTTTGTGAGGCCTTTACTTGAGTCCTAAAGAGATTATTCTCAGAGCTGAATTTCCTAATACAACAAATTCACACAAATGTCACTACAGATATAATAAATGTTGTTTCAAGCCAGTGTCACTCAGCCTTGCCTGCCTGCACACCCCCATCCCCCGGACTTTTCAAAATGCATTTCATACACAGAGTCACTGTTCTGGTTGTTTATTTAATTAACATGACAGCCTAGTATACACAGCATTTCTTTCAGGTCTACAGTTTTAACTTTTTACACTTCATACTCAATACAGAAAGAGTAAAATGACTGTTTTCACTCCTTCCAACCTCTAAATTTATATAGATTCACTGACTATTTCTGTCAGTTGAAACAGTTAGTTTCTCCTGGGTATTGAGGGGGTAGGGGGGAGAGGGAGGGGGCGGGGTGGGTGGTAAGGGAGGGGGTGGGGGCAGGGGGGAGAAATGACCTAAGCCTTGTATGCACATATGAATAATAAAAGAAAAATAAATAAATAAATAAATATCTGTATTCACAAAGTAAAATTACAATTTTTAAAATCACAGGAAAACAAAACATTTCCCTCACCTTTCCCAGAGGATAAGAAAATCTTGTTGTACTTTCAGAAGTTGACATGAATTAATTTTAATTCTGTCACCAAGTCGTAAATAATCAGTACTGCTCATTGTATGTACATAAACTTAGTAATACTATGAAATGTGAGAGGAGTTACCATTTTAAAGTCTATGATAATTTCTGAAACTCAATTTGAGAAATATATTATACTAAAACACATTTAGAAATTTAAAGTATAATACATTCTATATGTTCAGGAGAAATATGTTTGTATTTTACATCTGAAATATAAAAGCAAATAATTTATACTTTCACCAATGCTAGCACATAGCCAACCATATGCCCACAAACCAACGCACCGTCAAAAACCATATCCATTAATCCTATTTATTTTTGCTTGAAAATATCTTTCTCACACCTGTGATAAAAACATGACTCATAAAGGGCAAAATCTTGATTCTTCTTTTAATAACAAACTAACATTCCTGCAACAGTACATTCATTAGTGGGAAAGACATTTGATTGAAAGCTTAGAGAAACAGTCATGGGAAACCATTTCAATTTTTGATTACATAATACAAAGCAGGTTTCTTATACATATCTGAATGATGCTATACACATTAGAATGAATTTTGTCATTAATAGGCTATATATGGGCTGGCAGTGTGGCTCCAATGTTAAAGCACCTGCCTAGAAGCATGAGACCATAAATTCAACCCCCTGTACAGGTAAAAATATGAAAAGAATTCTGACATTAAAGTCACAATCAGTCTTGAGGATACTGGAAACCAAAAGCCACAAAGATGCTATAAACTTTGTTCCTTACTTAAAGATACTTTTACTTGCATTCCCAGACACACCCAAGGCCTGATTCATTCTATGACCCAAAACTAGACCTAGTTCTTCTGTGATTGAAGTTGTCTTTATCATCAGTGCCTCAAAACGCAATTCTATATGGACTATCCCAACTATAGACGTCATAATTTTATAGACTTAAGATGGAAGGAAGGAAAGGAAGGGAAGGAAGGAAAGAAGGAAGACAGGAAGGAAAGGAGGAAGGAAGGAAGGAAAGGAGAGAGGGAGGGGAGTTTGTGAGTTAGTTTGTCTTATGAAAATTTTATCATAAATATTCTTTGTCCTTTGCAAATTGAGAGCCACTTAAGAGAGAGAATTGATATGCAAGTGGCCACTGTCATCCTTATGGAGAGAAAATGCTAAAATTCTCTCACCTTTAAACTGCAGAGTGAGCAGCATCGAAATGAACTCCCAGGGGCCTGTGTGCTTTGTCTTTCACTACTCTTCAAAATCCATTTGTTGCCCAGGAGTACTATCCTGAGTTCAGAGTAGATGTCCTTTCAGAAAAGAACTAACCTGGTCGCGTTCAGAGGAAGGTTACATGTTCCTTTTATAATTATTTTGATTCTTGACTTCATAAAGTATGCAAATGACACTGGTACACTTTGCACCCTTAATCAGAAGTTTGTTTCCTTATGATAAAATAGATAAGCCATTTACTATATGGCTCCTGAACTTTTCACATAGTTAGGCTAACGTCTGAGATATCTCTCTATTTCGTAAGGTACTACCCCTTGTCAGTTCCCACCCAGTCCCCGCAATCATGCTCAGCAACAATTTTAATGGATCATATATAAAAACCAGTTTTCAGTGACACACACACCCATGATCTCATTAAAACTTGAAGGGTCTAAATTTCTGCTAAATATTATTTTGTTTTTCTATCAACCATAAGAGATAAAGTTTCTTACTTTAGAGCATCCTTCATAAATACAGCCTTTAAAAAATAATCAAAGAAATTTGTCAACATAGTTTGCAAATATGTATGCATTTCTCAACAGCATTAACCAGTAAAACATGTTAAAAAGTCATGCTCACTTTATTTCCTCCTAAGTATACAGACTAATCCAATTCTTCATTTACCAATTGAAACCAAAGGAAACCAATAAAATCTGTGGGTTAATTAACACGGCTGGTCAATCTTATCATAACTCCCTCAAATGTTAATATGAAATTTCAAAAACTTAATTTCAGAGGTTAAGTGATATTAATTTGGAGTCAGGTTACTTATGATTACATCCAGATTTTTCTTAGAAATTATGGTTCAATTTTTTTCCAAGAACCACATCACATGTCCTTGTAAGTTAAAGAATAGTGTTCTAAACATTTAAATCAGTGGCATTTTCATTGAAGACATTTTCTTCTGAAATCGTGAAAATAAAGTATGCTTTTGCCCTCACTAGTTTACCCATAAATAGATAACTGACTTTATCTCATCGAGGTCCAAATTTCTACCAGAACTAAACATCAGACCTTGGCCTGTTTCTTCCTTTATTCTTGGAGTGAGTTTAAATCCAAGAAATATTTGTTTTAGTTAAACAAAAAACTAAATAAGTATATTTGTTTAAAAAGAAACAGAGACACGATACTGTCATCCACTCTGCTAAATAATGTCACACAACCACAGATCTGTGTAATCAACTCCATTTCAGAAATAAACTAGCTACTCCCACCATATGGTAACTGTTATTTCTTCGAAATACCTAAATGATTATCCACAGAATAACCTAAAATGAAAAACCTTACTATATCCCAGTATTTTTTTTTCACTCTGCAAAGTTGCCCTAGTGGTGCCATGGGTAGGCATAAATGTAAATGGGGGGAAAGTCAATTTCCATTTGCTGCACAGAACCAGTTTTCAACACCCTCCACCCTTCATCAAGAGTTAAATCATCTAGCAGAGAATTGAACAAGTATGCCTTTTCAGGTACAAATTGTATTTCAAACTGGAATTTGTCCTTTCATGTGAAGCAACTATTCCATGGTCTTAAAACACTTCATGTCAACAAGACCAGTTCCCCAAACTGACTAAACTTTTATTTACAAGTTCACTCATAATTCCAGATTCCTCCACCTCCTCCTTCCTGAAAGATACATTTTTATCACCAGCAATCTAGAAATGCTCTCCTGAATTAATATTTCCTGTAAAACCTGAAAAAGCCCATTTGAATTTTTAACTACCCACTTAAGTAAACACTCAAGAAAAAAAATAGCTTTTTAGTTGATAATAACATCACAATTTTGAATATTCTTCCGCAAGTTTAAAGTTTCTGTTTAGGATACAAACACACTGGCATGTAATCACGTCTGCCGCTAAATTCTATTTAAAAATCAAGCTGGTCACCCTCGGAGGCAATCCTCCCGAGTAAAACTTCACTGCAAAACCGGAAAGTGTGCAGCTATCCCTCACCTCCAAGGATGGCTTGCTTTGCTGTAGACTATTTTTAGTGGTTTTCAGAAATATTTACCTGTCACTATAAGAAAGAAATTTCATTTAAAAATAGGAAAACTCCATGCTCTAAAAATCACCCAATGCTGCAAAACTAAACCTAATTTTAAAATTTCTGCTAATGGAGGGAAGCCTGAGAGTCCTTCAACGTGCTGAGAAGCCTTACACACCAGGTGTAAATCAGTTGACCCAGCTGTGGGAGAGTTGTAAATGCTATTTCGTTTTGAGACTCCTTCGTGTTTCTGCTGCTCAGGTTATAAAATACTCTGCTACTTTCTTTCTTACTAAGGCCAAAGTTATGCACTTTCCCAGGCTCTGGTCCCTGCAGCTGCTGGCGCTGGTTCTTCCACTTTGCGCAGACAGACCGCGTCCCAGGGTTCCGAGCCTCCCGGGGACCCCAGGTTGGCGGCGCAGCGCTTACCTGTTCCCTGGGTATACAGGGCAGGGAGGTCCTCCGGTGCGACTTGCTGCCACAGCCCGACATCTCGGCGGACACCACGGAGCTGGACCTCCTCCTCCTCTTAAACACGGGGATGTCTTCCTTGGTCCCAGCGATCCGCAGGGACCCCAAATGCTCCTTGGGAGCCGCCCCCACGGACTGCGGCAAGATTTGCTCCAGGTACCCAGCCAGGAGGATCCCCAGCACGCCGGCCAAGTACGCCAGGTAAGGTCTCCAGGCGACCTTGAACCTCTCCAAGGAAGTGAGGGACACGGTCCTAACCGCGCTAGTCAAGGCGATCATGAGGACGCCCAGCCTCAGCCTCAGCAACAGCCATGTCGCGGCGGTCAGGCAGCTGAGCACCACCCCCGCGGCGGGGAGCGACAGTAGGCGATCCTCCCCGACGCCCAGCCCAATCTGGACGAGCGCTTCCCCCCCGCAGCAGGCGGCCAGCAGCGCGACGGCCAGAGGCAGGCGCACCCCGGCGCGCAGGAGGTACAAGCCCATCCAGAAGAAGGCGCCCAGCAGACTGACGAGCAGCGCCGAGGGCTGCAGCCAGGGGCTGAGCTGCGCGCCGCCCCCGGGGGCGCCTCCCCGAGCGCCAGGGCCGACGCCCCCTTCTGCGCCCGGGCCCGCCACCTCCTTCCTGGGCTCCGGCTCGCAGCCGATCTCCCCGCGGACCAGCCGCACCAGCAGCGCCAGCAGCAGGGACGTCGAGCCCGCGCACAGCCCCCAGGAAAGTTTCCCCGCGCGCCGGAGAGGCTGCAGCGCCGAGGCTCCCCAGCAGCCGCGGCAGCCCGAGCCCTTCGGGGAGGTAAAGTCCCCGCCCGCCACGGCGGCCTCGCCTCTGGACACTGCCATGCTGTGTGTGGTGGGTGTGTGTCCCTCTTCACCGAGTCCCCAAGCTGTCCCGGTGCGCCCACCGCCACACACGCGCGTACCAAGTCGCACTGCCCAGTCCCACCCTCGGATGTCGCCTCTGGTCCCCAGGCCCGGGATCCATGCGAAGTTGCAGCTTTCCAGCAACTCCTGCAGAATGCCTTGATGTTCCAAAGAGACTTCTTCAAGTTCAAAGCGAGCAAGATCAGGCTCTGACTTTTCGCTCTGCGCTCCACTCTCAACCTGATTTATACCTTCCGGGGTCTCTAACTACTTGAAAATTTTAAAAATTGCCCAGTGCATCCAGCTCTCAGGGGCCGCGGACGCCTTAGGAGCCCGGGGCGCTGGGCGAGCGCAGGGCCATGGCCGGAGAGGCGCTGCTGCGCGCCCGGCCCGCGGCGGAGGGAGGGAGGGAGGGAGAGCTGCCTTCCTTCTCCTGCAGCTCGCTCGCTCACTCGATCTCTCCGTCTCTTTCTCTCTCTCTATCACTCTTTCTTTCTCCTCGGCCAATCCTTCCCGGCGCGGCCCCAGAACGCGAATCGCCATTCCCTGGGGCGAAAAGCAAAACCTCCCCCGCGTTTGTCCGTCCAGTTCATGGCAGAGGGTGGAAAAAACGGCCAAGGGACTGAGAAATCGTCCAGAAGTTGCTGAGTTCCGTCCTAGAGAGACAGACAGACCCAGGGAAAGGAGCGGCTGCGGCTGCAGAAAGGAGGGAGGGAGAGAGGGAAGAGGGAGCTGGAGAGGAAGGGAGGGAGAGTGGAAAGGAAGGGAGAGACGGGAGAATGAGATTTGCTTTTTAATTTTTTTTCCTTTCTTTTTTGGAGCAAGGTTAGTGGTGGTTTGCAGTTTTGCACAAGGGAAGCGAGTGAGACGACTGCTTAAAACTGTGAGGAGGCAGCTGGAGTGAGTGATCGCAATCCCGTCTGCTGCTTGCTTGCTTGCTTGCTTGCTGGCTGGCTTGCTTGCTTTAAGGCAACTCCCTAGCAAAACTCGCTCAGCCCACCTCCCGCCCCTCCCCGAAGGAGGCGCTGCCCTGGGCTCCATCTCTCCTTCCCCAAGCTCTGTGCTCAACCTAAATGTCCAGCCAGCGCACCGCCAGCTCAGGGGGGACGGGAACGCCGGGATGGGGGCGGGGGGAGGGCTGCGGCTGGTGCTCAGGCTGAGATTTTTAGGGGGATGGCCGGAGAAGGATTGCACTTGGCTACCTGGCAGGCAATGGAGCCCACAGACTTGCTACTGTCATTGAACATTACACCCCATCTACTGTCTGATTTAAAGATGCTCTCAGATGTTCTAGCAGGACAGCAAACCAGTTTCAGGTGGCCTTGTGATTTTTCTGTTTTCAACAGAGAAGCCAAGTCTATTCTGTTGGTTTAAATAATGGAAGAATCTCCAAAAGTTATCTAGACCACAACAGTATTTTTTAAATAGGGGAATACACACACACACACACAGACACACACACACACAGACACACACACACACACACACAAACACACACACATTTTAAAAAGCCTAACTTCAAAAGAAAAAGTCTAGTGTAGGAATACTAAGAGTTGTTGACTGGGAGTGGTTAAATTACACAATTAGGAACCATAGCCTCAGAAGATCAGAAGAGTTGAGAAGTACAGTGAAATACAACATGTACAAAAAAAGAACACTTTGGAGCAAAAATTATCAGGATCTTAGTTATTAGCAATTGCGTATTCGTACTGTAGCATCTGTATCTGAAAAACCAAAGAACAACTTTAAAGCCGTCGTTTTTCGGCAACTTAAGAAAACAACTCAGCATCTGTTCACTAGATTTCAAGAACAACTCCAGTGGTCTTTGGAAGCTGGCTTCTTTTTAAAATTAAAATAAAAATTATTGGCCACTCCTGTTTTCATGTTAGATGTCATTTGCAGTCACTAATGATAATATTAATAATAAACTAGTTTTGTCGTAATTACCTTGACAGTCCAGGTTAAAGTGTGTTTCTAGCCTGGAGTATTTGGATAATTGGGTCGATATGCCATTGTATTTTGTGTGTAGAGATAAAGCAACAAAACATGCCAAAAGCAGAAAATTGAGATAAAATTAACTTGAGGAGGTAGAGAGAGAAGATGGCTTAACTTTGTGACCTCACTTCATGGGAAACAGCCTGCTTTAGGGACAAGGAGGCAATAATATTAATATTATGGCATAAATGGATAGGGGGAGTTGTGATGGCACAGAATCTCTCCATCACGTGTGCCAGCACACAGGAGCACGAGTTCTGTCTGGCAGTTAAGGCAACAAGGAACAGCAATGTCATTGCCAAAGACAAATGAGCCCCTAGCATGTATGCATACTTTCATGAGCTTCTTTTTAGACCTATGATTCATTTACCAGATCCTACCTGGAACACTTCAGAGTGAAAAGGCACCATTGGAAAATCCATGCTAATATCCCTTGACATCAAACATAGAATATTAAATTGAAAAACTGTAAACGTTTGGGTATAGGATAAGGTGAGAGAGAAAAGCATAGTGAGAGGAATTTGAAACCTTTCCATTTTCTGTACCCTCCACTGCACCCTGACCTCAGCTCTTTAGACAAGATAATAGCAAAAAAACCAAGCTCTTAAGAGATGGCAAATAGACATTGCTAAAAAAAAAAGTTGTAATAGAAAAAATGTAATTTACTAATGGACAAAAACAAGAACACTAGATCTATATATTAATGACATCTTATAGCTGCTCAAAAAGCACAGAAGAAGCAATCCTAGCATCTGGTTTCCTCCCATTTTACACACAAAGAACTCACGATCAGAAAGTTATTTGTCCCACCAAAAGGAAAAATGGTAGATTTTTCTCCCGTTACCATCTAGAAACCTAAGGAAGGTGAACAAAACCAGCAAACCCTCTGTAAGAGGGCCACGAAAAAGCTGCAGGGCAACACTAACTGAGAAGTGAGAGTCCGTGTGCATTTAGCAGAGATTATCTTAAATGAATAGAGAACGAATAATAGACTGCCTATGTTTTACATGCAGTACTGAATCCTAATTCAGGAACCTGTCAGCAGAGCCGAAGAACAAAAAAGATGTACACACAGACAAAAATAGTAAAGCATAATAGTACAGCATGGGCACCAAAAAGAAAAAGTCAAATTTGATTTTATAAGAGTGCACCACTTAGCCAAATCTAGCTGATGGGGTTTTATTTTTCCCTTGTGGATGCAGAACTGAATGCCATTGCAAATCATTTGCACTTTGCCAAATGGAGTTCTGAGTATGGGAATTCTATTCCAAAATCTTAAAAGTTATATTTTTAGCATGGGTTCACTTACTCTACAATGGGTACCTAAAACAGAATGTATCAAAATTCTCAACCCACTTTCTTCAACCCTTCCCACGTGCACACAAGTTATTTCTCTTAGTCTTCTGAAAAGTAGGTAACCATCTATCTTCTGTTCATGCCTTTGACTCTTTCTAGTTCATCTTGCTTTTCTTCCACTCCATTAGCAAATGCACATGATTCTATCTCTAAAATATGTCCTAAATCCATCCACTTTTCACCAGTCATCCTCTCAGGCCAGGAGAATTACAGTGACTAACTAGTCTTGCCCTCCTCCTTAGTTCACGTTCTAGGCAGCAGAATGATAGTTTAGAAATACAAACTAAATGATGTCCCTGTTGCTGTAAGCCATCCAAAGACTTCCAAATGTACTTGGAGAACCAAAGTCCTCATGACAGCCTACAAGGACTTTCAGGATCTTCTCAAGTCACTTTCTGACCTCCTTTCCTCTTCCAAATTCCCTACGTCAATAGTACAGCCCTATCCATTCAAACTCTCTTCAGTGACAGAAACGTCACCTCTGTGCTGTTCAGTACGGTAGCCACTGATTGAACACTCAAACTCTAGCTAATGCCACCGAGTAGCTGAGGGTTTGTATTTTATTTTAATTATTTTAAAACTTAATGTCTACAGTGAAGGTTGGTGCCTTCTTCCTAGGTTCTAACTTCAAATGTTACTTGTTTTCTTAAAAAGCTTGATTCCTAACATTCTTGTCAAACAGTCTTAGAACACCCCATACATTTTGTCACTCACTGTCATACTATCCATTTTTATTGTATGTATAGCACTTGTCACTATGCAAAATGGTCTTCTAATATCTATCCCTGTTCACTAGGGTGTAAGTCTCAGTCTGTTTTCTGTGTATCTCCCTCCAGTCACCACAGGCACAGGCAGAAGCTCAATAAATATTTTTTCAATAAATACTTGATGAATGGGCAGGAGGAATGGCTGATGTGACAGAGCACCGGCCTAGCAAGCCTAGCAAGCATGAGGCCCTGAGTTCAAGTCCCAGTACCGCCAAAAAAAAATACTTGATGAATGAGGAATAAATAAGTCCCAGTACCACCAAAAAAAATACTTGATGAATAAGGAATAAATGAATGAAACAAAAGAGTAAATAAATAAATAAATTTTATATCTTTGTAAAGTCATATTTTAGAGATCATCCCCACATATTTTTACATAGACAGAGTCCTTTAAATTGTGTAATGAAGATTCTGAGTCCCAGGGGAACTAATGAGCAAACTGGTGCAATCAGCACTTTTCTAGAAAGTCACCTTAAAATGTATTGTTATTTTAAATTACTCATCTATTAGAGAAATAGACAATATAGCTAAAGACTGGAAAACTTTGTGTTGACTGTGTGATAAACTTAATAACTTTCTTGTACGTACAGGGAAAAATACAAATTGAATATATGCATTTGATTAGTAAATCAACCAGGAGATCTAGAATTAGCCGGTGTTTGAAGATATCTGGCTAAAAAGCCTAAACTCATATTGTTATCTGTGCATAGTCTCAGCTAACACTATGATAGCAGCTGAATTTGAGTTTTTAAAAAAGTAAACATTCTGCCATGATAGACTCGATTAATACATATTATTTAACTTATAGTCAGGAAAAGATGCATGACACTTGAATTTGGGGAAGCATCACCCCCCCACCCCTTTCCGTGGAGTGCTATTCCTCTTTTTAATTTCCAGAGAATTTAAGTAACAGCATTAAATGTGCAAATGTGAACGGCCATAAAAACACTGGAGGAAAAAGCAAGACAAGGGGTCTCGTTATGAACCACAAAGTTATTTTAAACAACAGCAACAAAATCAGACTGTCCACAGCACAAACCACCAGGGTAGTTCGCCATGCACAGCCTGTGTACACAGCTCTACACAGAGCTGCCAGTCCTTACAGCATGTCTTGGGTGCTAACAGCTGGCTGTACCCTTTCTAAACAAATCCTTAAGGAAATTGATGTGCACCAGGTATAGGGCTTCTCAACCTTGTTCACTTTTCAGAGTACACAGGATATAACATTTTGTTGTCACATCAGGCAAAATGACAAAACTCTGCAAAAAAGTATTCAGGCACAGGACCTGAGGACATCAGACTCTCTCACAACTAGAGTTGCACACTAGCAGGGAGTTTTTGAGACACCTACTGTTTTGCCTCACTAATAAAACACAAAGCCTTCCTCCCAACACTATTGAAGTAAAGATAAGGCAAATTGCAAGA